TTGGTATGGTATGTAGTTAGAAGCCAGAATGAGTTAAAAGAAGCTTGTCAACATTAATGAAGTACTGCCCTTTCCCCACTACTTTCCCCTCAATGTATCAGCTAGATTTTTTTTCTTACTCTGTAATACTTAACAGAATACTTAATAACGAAGAAGCTCCTCCTGCTCTTGGTGTTTAGTCGTATAAATGTGGATCTTTTACATCTACAGCAGAAGCAGGTCGGCAGCGGTGGCCCATTTTTGTTGGATTAGCTTGCAAAAGCCGTTTCAAGTGTGCTTCGAACACGCATCTATTTTGACCATGACTTTTAAACAACGTGGCAAGGAATATTTTGCAATTAAAGTTGCAAAATATCTATATCAAACATATCACAACAGTTCACCAGCTCCAAATCAAATGTGCATCCTTTCTGGAATACTTAAATCAGTCATTAGGAGTCATTCTTACATAAAGCTAGTTAAGCTTTAGAAAATACATCATGGACCTTGAAACAGACCCCCTTAAAATGTCTTCCACGTGTATAAAAAGCTAGATTTCCTGGGTTCACATTTTATGTATTACTGGTTTTCAGCAACAACAACAAAAAAGTCACAATTCATTATTTTATCTGGGATGATAGGACAAAGAAAATGTTCATTTTTGCTGTCTGGATTTTTTCATTTGTTGCGAAGCTCTCTGCACTTAAATATAAACCACTAACTTTTTGTATCTTGATGTATTAATTTATTTTATTATGGTCGAGTTATCACACAAAAAGTGTCATCTGTACTTTTTGATTCCTATAAAACTGTTTTCACCAGATTCAGGTATACATTTAGAACATACTGTGTTTTTGTTCAATAAACAAGAAAAATAGAATTGGTTAAAATAAAAGATCTCCAGTTCTTTAAAAAGTGATAGTACTGCTATATCAATCAAACTTTGTAAGGGATTTATATAAGTGTAACTAAACTGTATGAATTGTGTCTTGTAAATTGAAAGCAGACAAAGTCATGCATTGGTTTCTTATGCACAGTATCAAGATCACCCCAAATTGTGAACTCTGAAATCTCGAGTTGAATTCTAATAGATTTTAAAAACGCTACACTGGATGTTCTTTAAAGCAAAAATGTTATACTGAATGCAAAACTCTTTGTCAATCACTGTGATCCATCTACATTTCAATACCCTTGTCTCAGCACTACAAGAAACATCAAAGCAAAGTGAACATCATAATAATGATAATAGCTAGCCCAACTGAACCCCAGGAGCTCATTGCTTTGACAAAATTGGGGTACACAAACCAACTGGTTAGATGTCAAGTGAATAACTTCTTGAGCATCCAAGATCCAGAATGGAGCTCTTTTATTATCCAGGAAATTCCTAGTATCCTTACCTATAGGTGTGGTGCAGTTGTCTAAGTATCAAATATCTCACAGTAACACCAGTGGTCCTCTGACTTTAACCCTGAGCTGGATAGTTTAGTTGCTCTGACGCAGGCCGGGGAGTAAACCAAAACCAATGCGCGAGTCGGAGTCTGTGTTTGAGAGCGATAATATAGGGACGACATTTAGCAGTTGTGACGATCCATTAATATTATTGATATTCATCTAATCTCCTCCCTACGGGGGAAAAGGGAGGTTTGGTCTCAACACTTAATTTGATAATCTGTAAGAAAAGCACAAAAGGAACATTCTGCAGATTCTTAACCTTTCCTCAACTTTGGCACTCCCAGAGGCAGGAAAGGAGTATCTTTCACCACAGTTATTAGTTCACAGAGACACCCTTGACCTCTGCGGTGGTAGCCAACTGTCAACATAACCCGTGTTATTGTAATGCAGGTTCACTCTCTTTGACTTCTACCAGAGTCATTTAGGTCTACCTGCTGGCCTGGAACCTATACACACCAGAGTAGAGAGATATATACTGAAAACTTTAATTAAACTACGTTTGACACAGATTCAAAACTGAAGCCCAAGACTGTGACTCTAATTTTCTAAAACCTCTTTATGAGGTTTGTATGTAACAGTGATAAAGGCTTTTATAAACAGAGGATTTCCACTCACATTTTAGAAAAAACTTGAATAGTCACCTCTCATTAAAAAAAACATGTGAGGAAAAACAAATTACAAGCTGACTGTACTGTTAAAACAATATGTCTTTTTTAATTTTATATTTAGGGTTTCCACAAAGACATTATGTTTGAAGAAAGACAACATTACAAAATTAACCTGATGTAGTTCCTTTTTTTATAACCACATCTTTTATTTTAACACAGACAAATGAAAAAAAAAAGAAGTTGACTTAATGAAATTAAACAATATGTTGATTCTTGTCTGTACTGAATGTATGTTTGTGTGTGCATCATCTTTTCTAATCTGCGAAAATTGAAGCGGTTTATTCATTAAGTGTCTCTGTTGGTGTATTAGGGGCAATGACTAATTTTTTTGTATCCCCCAGCACTTTCTACTATAAAATATGTATCTGCAGCTGGAGGGTTAAAACACAGAACGTATAAGTGTACACACTTATACAGGTATGATTATTAGAATACACATAAAAACAATTTAGCATAGGCCTATTCAGATATTAATGTGCCCATAGATATTAATCACAAGGTATGGATCTTAAAAATGAGACTCAGGGCAAAATATGTTATGGATCATTGTGAATGTGGAGCACACTGATCAGCTACCTGGGTGACTATTAGAATGTGGTTATTAAGGCATAGCGTCTTATGAAGAGCCTCTTAAAGATTTACATGATAAAATAATCTGATATGAGAAGCCTGTAGATTTTCACTCTTTTTTTATTATTTTTTGTTGTTGTTTTTGTTGTTTGTTTTTTTTCAATCAAGACGGATGAGAGCATTCGAAAATGGTTACGATGGCGTTTGCTCGTGCACGTGTGTGCGCGTGTGCACGGGACACAGCGACTGAGCAGCTACAGATGGTGAGAGCCCATCTGTTTCGGTCTGCGCTGGTGGTCACCGTGATCTGGACGCGGTTTTAGAGAGGATCGAACATGGACGGCGGGAGGAGTCCGAACAAAGTTTTCTGCGTTCTGTCTCTTTTTTTGAGATCGAGATTTAGTGGTGGTTATCTACTGCCGTACCGATTTTTTTCTTTTCTTTTTTATAAACCAAATTTTAGTTGAAATTTTGTGTTAGAAATATAATTTCAAAATGACCACTCCACTAAGGGAAAAAAAAAACTTTATATCCCAGGAAATGAATACATTATTACCATTATTAATAGTATCATCGTAATTATTACAAGTTTCCTCTTCGTCTTTAATTTGAACTTAAAGCGATGCTCTGTCTCCTTACGCGCACCTCTTCTCTAACGCACCACTGCCATCATATTTAGTCCCCTGCACACATCTCCAGCGGGTTATCACTATTGCCATTCCTCCCCTCCTTTCTGATGTGTTACCCAGATTACCATCAGTGCCCCTCAGATATTTTTAACAGATCCTCGGCGCTCGGCAATATCCACTCGGAGCCATCTGGTGCAGATCAGAATCTACTGAGTTCTCAGGCTTCAGTGGTTAAGGCATTAAATCTAGATCTACAGAACACCCCCTTTGACTCGGGAGGTGGGTGATTGGAGAACCAAATCAAACAGAAATAGAACAGTTAAAATGTGAATCCGCCCCCCCCCTCCCGCGCGCTCTCTGCTGTGAGTGGACATCTGAGGACAGCCTGGTGTCCGACCCTTTTCTTTTGAAAGCCACAACTGGGATAAGCGGTTCAAGAGGAGGTGACCAAAGCTGAGGCATCCTTTCCCTTACCCCTGCTGCATGAAACACACTCTCCAAAAGCATGCTTTTTAGAAAAAAGGAGGAGAAATAATAATATTTTAGCTACAGGAATGGCGATCACGAATCAAAAGTGTGACAACTAATGTTTCTGAGCCTCCACACTCGGTGGTTGAATATGGCAGTGCTTCACTTTAATTACATCAGAGACACAACTAAAAAAAAGAGTGTGTTCAATGTTTTGTGGCAAGTAAAGGGACCTGCTGAATTCACTGTCTCTGTGGTTTGTCGACATCCCTTATCCGAAAACGAGGAAGAAAAAAAAAGGAAAAAAGAAAGAAAGAAAAAGAAAAGAAAAAATAATCACAAATCACAACAGCAAAGTCCAAACAAACACAAGAGAATAAAAAAAAAACGTTGCGTGGAACAACAGTGAAGGATTTGGCTGACAAAAGCTTTATAAACAAAACGAGACAATAACAGAAGTCACAGAGAACACACATCATTGATGACTTATTTTGTTATCGAAGCTTTAGGATTTTCTTTGTGATAAACACACACAGACACGCAAAACGCACGCGCACTCACACACACGTGTATATATATATATATATATATATATATATATATATACGCGTGTATATCTACCTAAGAATATTAGTCATTTAAATTTTTTACATTTACATTTTTTTATATATTTCTGAGTCAAACTAGTATCGTATTGTCTCTAACAACAAAGTTTTAAAAGAATAATGAAAAACTCTACAGCTAAATCCAGCAAGATTGTAAAAAAAAAAGAAGTCATTATGAATGAGTTAAACTCGGTAGTAGCCGCTATTTCTAAACACTAATTCCTTCACGAAGAAGCCTCCCACCATTAATTACAATTTAAATCTATTCAAAGTAAGTTCCTTTTTTCTGACGTGTTTACTTCCCCCTGTGTCGGACAGCTGTAAAATCGTGTAGACAGGTTGTCATACAACAATCAAAGCCTTCGGTGAATGGACTCTAATGCTTGAACATTTAACATACAATAAGTCCAAACACGGTGAGAGAGAGAGAGGGGGGAAAGGAGAGAGAGATAGAGAGAGGGACAGAAGAGAGGGGGGGAGAGAAAGTGAAAGAGAAGCAGAGAGAGAGCGAGTGAGGGAGAATGAGGGAGGGAGGGAGGCCCCAGCCAATGTGCTCACTCTATATTCACATTATCCACATTGCTCCAAAACGAGGAGGAGCTTGCAGGCTCAAGTAGGGGATGCCAATCAAAGCATCAACTTCAAATTGTATCTGAGAGATCAGCCTGGAGACCTCAGGGCCGGGCGCGTCAGTCGGAGCGCAATTGTTGATCAGATCACATCCAGCAGGACTTTCCGCGTGAAAGAAGGAGAAGAAGCCCAGATTTTACCGGCGGTCTGCTCTGGCTGCACGCCTCCTGTGTCTCTGACTTCCCCCTTCCACTCCTCCGGGCTCTTTCCCCCCTGTTTCCCCCCCCCTTCTCTTTTGCGTATACTTTTTGCTGTTGCGCACAGTTTTTGTTTCGGACGGTTTGGCCGCGCGACGTTATTTGCGAGGGGGAGATGTCGTTCCCGCAGTTAGGCTACCCGCAGTACCTCAGCGCCTCCCCGGCCGTGTACGGGGGCGACAGGCCCGGGGTGCTCACGCCGTCGTCCCGCGGAGGGAGCACCGAGATCGGGGGGAGTCCCTCGGCCACCGCGGCCGCGGTCACGTCGGTGCTGGGCATGTACGCCAACCCTTACGCGCACAACTACAGCGCGTTCCTGCCCTACACCAGCGCAGACCTGGCCCTCTTCTCACAAATGGTAAGAAAAACCTTCTTCATATTATATTAGAACTCTAGAAGAACTATTCGGAGTCTTAATGATTCGCCTTTACGACATCACTGCCTTTACTCACATAGGTAACAAGATGTTGTTGTCGTTGTTTTTTTTTACCGTTTCTATCAAGTTAGATTTTTTTTTTGGGACAGATTTTTTGGTCCGAAAACTGCAGCAAAGTTTAAATAATTAAACACTGTTAGATTAAATCAGCATTGTATTTGAAGTGGTTCTTTTACTGAACAGAAAAAAAAAACATTAATTTTACTCGGGAGTTAAAAAGAAAAATATATCCCGCTGTGGTGCATTTTAGTGTGCAAGAAAATGAGGTTTCTGAGTGACACTGTGAGCAGATCATTCTTTCCCAGACAGCAGGGAGTTTTGTCACCAAACAAAAGCTGTAATTCTAAATATGCGAAGGATTTTTAATGCGGACGCTTTGAAGGCTCCCTAAATGTCTCGCAAATTTTAACTTTGTTTGAGCGTTGTCGTATATTTGTTGGGTCAAAACACACATGGCGATAATAGGCAATTTGCAGTGTGTTAATGCGCTGGCTAATGTATGCATTATAGGCCCATCCGAGCTGAAAGCGCCTCCAAAGCTTCAAAGCCGGGGCTAACATTCAAAATATGGGCATGTGCTTTGCTTGAATTGATTGACATGCTTCCCTGAAAAGCAATAAACCTCGCAGGGGGACAGAGATAGGCCGAAGAAAACTAACGCGCTTAGACAGGAAAAAAAAAAAAACTTTTACTCGGGCCTTGAAACTCCCATGTCAAACTGCAGAGGGAAGTCTCAGAGTTTCGCCTAAAAGCTGTAGGTTTGCATGCCACTGTTTCCCACAATCAGCCTTCTATCGGCCTGCTTTCTTCATTACTTGGAACTGACGACGTGTGAGAACTATGTGGTCTTGTGGAGAGTTTAGCTCTGCAGGCTCAGGTGCTGCAGGCCATGTGGCATGTTGCAAGTTGAGAAGGTTATTTTCGGAAAGCTATTCAGTCAGGTGCAACTGTAAATTTAGGAGTTTAAAAAAAAAAAGAAAAAACTAAGTGAATTTTATATTCATAAAGTGTCAAAAAAGTATTTGCGATGGCAATTGACGCACATAATGTATTTACAGTACAGGGGATGAGAGTGATTATCCATGTGAACTGTGGCTTACAAGTAACACTTTATCCTTGATTTTTTCTTTTCAAGGGATCCCAGTATGAGCTGAAGGAGAGTCCCGGGGTCCATCCTGCCAGCTTCGCAGCCCACACGTCTCCTGCCTTCTACCCCTACGGCCAGTTCCAGTACGGAGACCCCGCCAGGCCCAAGAACGCCACCCGGGAGAGCACCAGCACCCTTAAAGCCTGGCTCAACGAGCACCGGAAGAACCCCTACCCCACCAAAGGGGAGAAGATCATGCTGGCCATCATCACCAAGATGACCCTGACGCAGGTGTCCACCTGGTTCGCCAACGCCCGGAGGAGGCTCAAGAAGGAGAACAAGGTGACGTGGGGCAGCAGGAGCAAGGAGGACGGGGAGGACGGGAACCTGTTCGGCAGCGGGGACGAGGCGGAGAAAAACGAAGACGAGGAGGAGATCGATTTGGAGAGCATAGACATAGACAAAATCGACGACAACGACGGGGATCAGAGCAATGAGGATGACGACGATAAATCCACCGAGGGGAGCAGGGACCACAGGGGGGGCGTGGGTGCGCCCGGGGAGTTGGACAGCTTGGAGAAGAGACGGGCCTTAGCCCTGCAGGCCCACGAGGCCTTTGAGAAATCAAAGAGCGCGCTCTCAGTCCACACCGGGGGGAAGGAGAACTCGGACGGGAACAACAACAACACGAGGGTTTTGTCCCCGGACAGACCGGGGAGTTTTCCTCTCCCGTCAAACAATAAACCCAAAATATGGTCTTTAGCAGAAACCGCCACGAGCCCCGACAGCTCCTCTCAGAAACCCGCGTCTCCCTGCGGGCCGGGGGCCCCCACCACCACCAATCACCACCAGATCCAGACCCACCCGGCCTTCCTGCCCAGCCACGGACTGTACACGTGCCAGATCGGAAAGTTCCACAACTGGACGAACGGCGCGTTCCTGGGCCAGAACTCCCTGCTGAACGTCAGGTCGTTTCTGGGAGTAAACCAGCACCATCACCACAGCCACCACCAGCACCACCCCCCCCCCACCCAGCAGCAGCAGCAGCCCCCCGCGTCCGTGCTGGTGTCCCCGGGGGCGGCCGACAGCCGGACCCCGCCGGACACCCACAGTCCCAAGCACATAGGTACGCAAACATGTGGATTTTCTATTTGAAATGCGTTTACTTGCGCACATTATCTACACGCTGCAGATCATGCCCGTGTCTCTTTATTTTCTCAAAGAGGCCCGCAGTTTTAATAGCTGAGCATCGTGCACGCGCATGTTGGTTACGCACGAGTCGCCTGCTCATATACACTTAAATATGCAATGTCCACACGCACAAAAAAAAAAAAGAAAGACAAAAAAAAAGGTTTGATTTCAGTCAGACAGCTTGGAAAGAATAAAAAGCTCACACATTTTTAATTTCCCCTTCTAAACCGGTGCTGACTTGTGTCTGGATTTGTTTCTTTGTTTTCCTTTTTTTAGAGCACGAAAACGGCGTAAGATCTGATTCACCTCCAACGCAGATCCTGAAGTCTTCTTTTCGACCCATTCATGACAGGTGAGACAGTTGGACTAGTTCTAGTTGGGGTTTAGTTTTATGTTAACACAAGAGTGTTCTTGCCATATACTCGTGTTATCGTTTTTAAAACCAATAATCGTATCAGTAAAAGGTGTGTACCGATATAGAAAATAATTTATTACCCCAACACGTGACTGCATTCATTACTATTCCTATTAGAGTCACAATGAAAAATAAATACGGGTGATCTTGGGTAAATTAAAACGTGTAATTTCCTTGCACATTCTCTGAGTTACCGGCTCAATTATTTCTAGTAGATTGTGTCTTTAAAAAAAAATTTTTTTTTTACTGCATATAATGTATTTATTTCAGTTTTTTAAAAATCCAATAACACTACAAAAAGAAAATAAGCACAGATAAGAAAAAATACAGTTTGCTTTACGGGTGACAGGGGTCTTGACTCTCATCCCACACCCCCTTTAATTCCTCCCCTCTGGGGAGAGGGGCTACTTATCAAGCCACCGAGTAAAACGGGCTCTGTCTGGGCTGTGTGCTTTCCCTAAAGACCCCTGGGACAACTAGAGCCCAGGGGAAAGCTCTTACCCCCCACAAAAAAAGAAAAAAAAACTTTCTTTCATGTATTCAAGAGTGTATTTTTTTTTCTCTGAGTACAACTCCCGATAATAAAAAGCAAAACTGCTTTCAATGTGTGATTATTTTTTAAAGACATTAGACAGCGAAGTTTTTATTTTATTTTCTTGAAAAAAAAATCTGGATTCAGAAATGATTATGCTAACTGTTTTTGGTGTTAAAAGAGTGCGGGATTGGAGTGTGAGGAGTGCAGCCTGTTTCTAATCAAGTGTTCAGCCAGACACTTGAGTTGCAGATTGAAACCCGCTGTCCAAACACGGCAGGGGGATTTATCTACCTTTTCTGTATTATTCTTCATCCAGATCCTCTCTGCCTTCCAGCGCCAGGAGTCCAGCAGACGCCACGCAACGGGTCCTCACTGCTCTCTCTTCGGCTTGATCAAGACTATTTTTTTTCCCCCTGCGCATGGAGAAAAAAAAAACAGATTAAGAAAAAAGAAGAAATAAAGAAAATAGACGCTTTCGACATAAGGACAATGAGAAATAATAATGCAGTGTAGCATTCAGTCGGTACGAAACAAATGGCGTAATTTGGTATCCTGTGGATGGATGGATTACTTCCTCTATTGTTGTGTAGCCTATAATCGCGCCTATAATGTTACTCTCTCTTCCACTTTGCCCAGGCTGGGACATTTTGGTAGGCTTTTTACTTTATTATTATTATTATTATTATTATTATTATTATTATTATTATTATT